TCACGTGGGACTGGTCCACCTGGTTCAGGAGCGAGGGTGTGTGTGTGGGGGGTCTTCCTAGGACATGGTTCCACATGCAGAGAGGTTCCTTCTCAAAGGCACCCCCTCCCCACTGTGCCGCTGCTCTCAGCCACCGCGTCCCTCCCACAGCGGGCAGGCATGTGTGAGAGGGGGGGATGGGCGCCCTCACCGTGTGCAGCTGTGGCCCTGAGAAGGGCAGAGCCTCCGGTGTGGCAGGTAACACTGTGCCTGGTGGTGTGTCCCCAGTGCCCCTCTCTGAGGGGACAACTTCTAGAACCCTGATTTTTCCTCCTCCATGGCTCCCGGGCTCTGGCTGGGTGTCCAGCTGGCGAATGTCAACTAAACCCTGATGCCCTTGACCCTGGAGCCCAGGAGGTGGTGTCAGGCCCACCTGCTGCACCCTGATGATGGTGACCCCCAAGACACATGAAATGGTCCCCTGATGCCCTGTCACCCCAGACTGAGCAGTAATGTAGCCGGTGGTACATGGCCAGGGATCGGCCCTTCTTCACAGAGTGTGTTTCATGGAGAGCCCCATGTCTCACTCCTCCCAGATAGGGTCCTGGGGCAGCCACCCATAGTTAGCCTGGATGCTGGGCCTTGGGTATCCCTCAACAAATTCTTTTGAGTTATTAGAATTTTATTTGTTATATATATATATATATCTGTTAAATTGCATATATATAATGTAAGGGCAGGGTCAGTGTTGGTGGGGGTGGGGAGGAAGTCTCTCTGGTGGACAGCCTGTCCCCCTGGAGATGAGAGAGGTCCCCACACCTCAGATGAATCTCAGTCTCCCCTCTCCTGGGGAGGATCCAAGCCCGCTCCGCACAGACCTGACCCGGGGTGCCCAGCTGTCCCCTGTGGGAGCCCAGTCCTACTCTGAGGTGCCTGAGGAGGGACACGGCCCGAATGGCTCCTTATCCCCAGCACCGCCCAGGCCTGGGGCTGGGGCTCCAGCTTATGTAGCCCTGGGCATTGCCCAGTCCTCCAACGGGCCCACTGCTGTGTGCAGGGCCCACTCACGTCACTGAGCTAATTGTAGCTAAAACCCTGATGTCTCTGGACCTCAAATTCCAGTTTCAAACTCCAGTTTCACTTTAAAAATCCATGTGAGTTTTACATTCTATGCCCTCGTAGAAACCATGACCTCCTGGTTCATAGGTTGGCGCTCAGCCACTGAGCCACACCAGCCGGGCTCTATCCAACTTTTTGATTGGAAAATGCCAGCAACTCCTGCAGGTTTGATATTCTACTTGGACAAATACTTGGCACCATAGGGCTTCTCCCCCACCAAGGAGGATTGAACTAATCACATCTCAAAACTCTTACTAATTAGAATCTCCAGGGGTGGGGTACAGGATGGCATTTTTTTCTTTTTTTAGAAACCCCACAAATGGCTGATATCAGCCAGATGGAGGGACCACCGACTATCCACTCTAAAGTAGCTCTGTGCCTCTGGCATCCTGCGGCCCCAGAGCTGGAGTCCTCTTGAGCCCATTTGGCAACTCATTAAGTCAATGAGCAATCCTGTCCGCCCACATCCCTACCCGTGTCCAATATGTTCTGTTCTGGAAACTCCCAAGTTCCCCACCCTAAGGGGCCGCCCGGCCAAGTGCTGCCTCCACAGCCACTCACCCTGGACAGAGCTCGGCTGGCCAGCATCTCGAAGGCTTGTACCACGTTGATGTCATTCTTGGCACTGACTTCAAAGTAGGGAATATTCTTCTCTTTACACCAGTCCTGGGCTACCTTCTGTGGCACCTGAATGGACGGAAGACAGGAGCGCTGTTTCTGTAGCATCATCCCCACCATCCCTACCTCCATTCCCATTTATTGGGAACCTTCCAAGTGTCTGTAACTTTACACATGCGATTTCTTAACATAAATGTGAGATGGCTATTGTTAGCTTCATTTTCCAGATGAGGAAACTGAGGACTAGAGAATAAAAGAATTTGCCCATAGCATTGGGGTGAGCAGGATTTGAACACAGGCCTGGCAGAATGTGAGCCCCCTGCACTGTGCGGCCTTCCGAAGGCCTACACGGGGGGCATCTTCCTGTCATTGGCTCCTTCTCCAGTCCCTTCAAGGGGAGATGGACATGACGGACAGGGGCAGGGACGGAGGACTCTCTTCCCGTGAGCTGGCTGACCCAGGAGGCCTGTTGCTGGGCAGAGATTCAGGTCCCCGCTAACCCTATTTTCCAGGGTAGAGTCCTAGGAACAGTTGATAAGCTCCTACTATGGGCCAGGCACTGGGTTAGATATCTTGTCATATTAACTTATTTAATTCTCAATAACCCGGTGAGACAGGTCTTATTGGCTCTACTTTAGAGATACGAACACTGAGCCCTAGCCAGTTTGGCTCAATGGATAGAGTGCCGGCCTGCGGACTGAAGGGTCCTGAGTTCGATTTCGATCAAGGGCACATGCCCAGGTTGCAGGCTCAATCCCCAGTAGGGGGTGTGCAGGAGGCAGCCAATCAATGGTTCTCTCTCATCATTGATGTTTCTATCTCTCTCTCCCTCTCCCTTCCTCTCTGAAATCAATACAAATATATTTTAAAAAAATAGAGATAAGAACACGGAGACTCAGAGAGGTTCAGCGACTTGCCTCAGATCACACAGCCGAGAAAGGCAGGGTTCGGATGAGGCCCCAGCGCAGTGCTCCCATGCCATCCGAGCCGCCCTATGCAGAACTGTGCTGCTTTTCTGTCGCTCCCGCTGGACTGCAGGTGTTTTGAGTTCAGGGTCAAGGCCTTCTCAGCTCTTGGCCTGGTGCCCTGAGCCACGCAGGGCAGTGAATGAGTACATCACGGCCCACGTGCCAATGGCAGAGCCCAGTTAGAGGGTCCGGATTGGGAAATGTCTGGCGCCATTGCAGGTGACTTCCAAAGACATTGGTACCACTGCGTGCCAGGGCTGCTTCTTTCGGGAAGGAGGAAATGGCCGTCTGTTGAACATTTGCTACACCTGGGGCTTTATAACCGTTATTTCATCTTAAGGCAGCCAAGGTGTTTCTCATGGGGAGAGGGCATTGTGCCCGCCCCCAGAGCACAGCCGCAGGGGGAGACCGGAGACTGCCCTCAGCAGGTTGTCTCCCTTGCTCCTGCAGGTTCCTGGAATTTACCTTACTGCGATCAAAGGTACCATTGCTGTCCCTTTCGTCTTCGGTCTTTGCTTTCCTGGCCTCAGGGCCCAGGGCTCATGGCGCGCTTTCACATGCCTCTCCTGTCCCCCCAGCATTGCCCTGGCCGGCCGTGTGAGGCTTGCTACCTCGCACTGGGGGGTGGAGCCTGGGGTCGGCCAAGCAGCCTGCCCTTCGGGGGGCCCAGATGACCCTCTACGTCCCACGCCCAGGCTTGGCCCAGTCGATCCCCCAGGTGCTGCTGAACGTGAGCAGAGCAGGGAGAATCCCCAGGCCCTGGTCTTGGGCTCTGATGGACATGATCCTCCTGCCTTTGGGAAAAGGCCCCAGAATCGGCCACGAGCACGCGTGCTTTGTTCTGAGGAGCATAGTTGCCCACGACCGGGCGAGTCACCAAGAAGCCTCACAGCTCAGGGGAAATCTGGAACTGTATTTGGGGGAAGAATCAGGGCTGGCCAGGCTACCGGCTACTATTGTCCTCACGAGTAACATGCAAATAAATACTCATTAGAAATGAACACGTTATACCTGGATGGCATGTTAGTGACACAAAGGGCTTTGTATCTTTTAAAAAAATGTTTTTATTGATTTTCTTTTTGTTTGTTTGTTTTTTAGAGAGAGAGGACGGGAGAGGGATAGAGAGATAGACACACCGAAGAGAGAGAAGCGTCATCCACTGGCTGCCTCCAGCACACCCCCTACTGGGGATCAAACCCGAAACCCAGACATGTGCCCTGACCCTGGGGATCGAATCAGTGACCTCTTGGCTCATGGGCTGCTGTTCAACCACCAAGCCACACTGGCTGGGCCAGGCTTTGTGTCCTTTAAAGTCCTTGAGGGCAAGGACTGCACTTACCCTTCTGATTGCTCCTTCCTTGTTTATCTCCCCCCCCCCCCCCCGCCCCGCCCCGCCCCCCTGCCCCTGGCCTCCAGCCCCACCAGGTGATGAGTGTTTTCCTGGGCCCATCATTGGGGCTCAGGAGCTGCGGTCGAAACGGAAAGAAGGTGCAATGAAGTCACGTGCCTCTGCCCCTCCAGGGGGAGTCTTTCTCTTTAGTGGCACAAGAGGCAGAAGTCAGGATTGGTGCCCAAGGTCACCCAGGGACAGAGCTAGGAAGACAAGTTCCCAACTCTTAGCTGGCTGATCTCAGCTGCCCCTTCTCTCCTGCTGGACAGAGGTGGGACTATGGCAGGTATTTTATTTCATTCTCTCCACTCTTTCTCTGTTCTGTTTACACGCAGTGATTAAATACACAATTCCAAAATAGCGGTGGGGATTATGTTGCCAATTAACATTCTTTTTCTGTCCCCAGCACCTCTCCATTGAACCTCAGAAAGCTGGCCTGGGAAGAAAGCAACCAGACAGGACTTTTTACTTTCCTCTTCCAAGTCCAGTTGCAGTTTCATGCTTTTTAAAGCCGTTTTGTCTTCTATTTATAAAATAATGGCTATTTATACCTTAGGCTCTGACTGTGGAAATAAACTCGGGGTGTGATACTTGGGAATCAGAGACATATGAAAGTTTTAGAAATGTTACTTCTATTAATCTTGCTTCTGGCTGACAATATACTAATAACATTTTACTTCTCCTGTTCACCCAAGGGTCTGTTTTTATTGACTTTGGAGCAAGAGGAAGAGAAACAGAGAAAGAAAGGGGGGGGGGGAGAGAGAGAGAGAGAGAGAGAGAGAGAGAGAGAGAGAGAGAGAAGAGAAGAGGAGAGAGAGAGAGAGAGAGAGAGAGAAAGAAGAAGAAGAAGAAGAAGAAGAAGAAGAAGAAGAAGAAGAAGGAGAAGAAGAAGAAGAAGAAGAAACATTGATCAGTTGCCTCCCATATGTGTCCCAGTTGGGGACTGAACCCAAAACTGGGTATGTGCCCTGACCAAGAATGGAACCCACGGCCCTTCGAAAGGTGCATGGGATGACATTCAACCAACGGAGCCACACCGGCCAGAGCTCCTATTACAATTTTGATGTTCATCAGAGGCCAAAAGCTTGACAAAATTAGTCCAGTTCATGTAATTTTATTTGTGAGACTTTTCCATCTCATATACATTTTAAATCATCAATTGTATGTGTTAAAATTAGTGTGTCAAATACATCTTAAACTGCTACCCAAAATAGCTAATATTTTCAGAAAACATTATGCCTCAGTGGAAAGTCAGGAAGTGCCTACCTGAACTTAGAGCAAAGACTCCACAAGCTAGCGAAGAAATTCCTTGTAGCATAGATGCTAGCAGAGCTATTCTTTTAAACAACCTACATTTTTTTTCACTCTAGTACCTTCTGTAGAAAGAGTAGGGACTTGAAAAAAAACCTAGGTCAGTAATTTCTTTAAGAACATTCTGCCAACATGTATTTTTTTATTGTGGTAAAATATACATAAAGTTTTCCATTTCAATGATATTTAAGTGTGCAGTTCAAGGACATTGAGTTCATTCACGTTGTTGTGCAGCCGTCACCCCCATCCATCTCTAGAACTTCTCCTTCACCTCACATCTTAGCAATAGAGTTTTAAACATTTATTTTCTTTGTACTGAGTAGGAGACGCTCCCCTGTTTTCCCAGCCTGCGCCATGGTGATAATAAGGAGGATCAGCCTCGCTCCCACCTATTAAGCTTGCCACATGCTTTTTGGGCATCATTTCCTTTAATCCTCAAACAACCCCATGAACTCTGTGTCTGGCCCTCATTTCACAGATGAAGAGGCTGGAACGGGCTAACCACACGACCCAGAGATGGGGTTGGGCTTGCCCGGGGCTTTACTGCTTCTTTCAAGCCCTCATCTTCCTCTCTCGGTAGATCAAAGCTCATGCCCCCGCCCAAGCTTGGACTGGACCCCCTCCACCCTTTCAAGGCATCGCCTGTACTTCCCATCCTGCCAGGACCCCCTCACTCACTGAGCTCTGCAGTCTGGCGAGGCTTCCTCTCCACCTCACGCTGTGGCCTCCACCCCTCACAATAGCTTCCAATGCCTTCCCTTCCGACAGACTTCACCTTCTTTCCTCTTCTTTGCAGGGCCAGACCCGGGACCTCAGAAGATAACACTAAATACCGTCTTCCGCTCTGGCCGCAACCTGCCTCCCTTCAACCCCCTCCCGTGCTCATTCCTTCTGCCCTGCTCCTCCACCTCTGCTGGCCCAGCCCAGGTGCCTCGTTCCTGGCTTTCCCCCCACACAGGGCTCTTGAAGAAAAACACAACACAGACTCCACCTCAACCTCCTGGTGTCCTCCTTCCGATAAGCCCTGTCACCCATCAGTTCTCGTCTTTGTCCCCAATTAGCTTCCTCACCCGTTTCTCTCCAGGTGACTGGTGAAGGGTCACCATTGTTCCTCAGACTCCTACTTGGTTTTCCCTCAAGAAAATGGCGCCTCTTATTTCACGGAGAAAAAAATAAGACTCTCAGTCTTGAACTCCCTCAACTCCCCACCCTACAATCTATAAGTATATGAAGCAGGATGCTCATTAAAATGGACGTTTTGGGGGAGGCACTACAATCTGATAGATGTCTGATATAAGGTGGGCTGGGAAATAGACTGCCCCCTGACCTTGTATGTTTCCAAAGTACATGACCAAGAATCCATGACTCCAAACCCCACACCATGGATAGATACTAAAAGACTGAAAAGGAGGAGTAGAAAGGATTTCTTTGGAGAAAGTTGTGTTGTGTTGTGCACCCCCCAAAAGACAGAGAAAAGGCAAAGCCTCACCTCCGCCCCAAGAAGGGCTTCAAGGAGGCCACTTGGAAAGCTTAACATTCAACCCCTGGAGTTTGGTAGCTACCGGGGATTTGTGTCTGGCATGCATCTGCGGGACCCAAGGCAAAAGGTAACAGGGCAGAGCATCTTTTACGAATTAAGTCTGCCTCTAGTTTCTTCTTATTAGTAGGCAATGGTGACAAGAACTCTACTCAATGCCACTGCAATAAACACCTACACAGCATGGGGTCACTACAGCCATGGAACAGACAAGCCATCCGGTGGTTAGCCAGGTGATCCAGAATATGCTTAAGCTAATTTATTTTTAAAATATTTTTATTGATTTCAGAGAGGGAGAGAGAGGGAGAGAGAAATAGAAACATCAATGATGAGAGAGAATCATTTATTGGCTGCTCCTGCACTCCCCCTACTGGGGATCGAACCCACAACCCGGGCATGTGCCCTGACTGGGAATTGAACTGTTGACCTCCAGATTCATAGGTCGACGCTCAACCACTGAGCCATGCTGGCCAGGCTATGATTAAGCTAATTTAAAAATATATACTACTTTCTCAGAAAATTTGTCGACTCAAGTATTTATAACTGCAGACCCCCTACCTGACCCTGGGTAGACATACTGTTCTTCAGGTTAATTCAAATTCTATCTGCCTGCCTCTGATGCCTTCATTCTTCCACTCCCTGTCTCTAGACAAAATTGTCTTTAATTCTCAGCTCATAGCATGCTCATGTTGTTTTATCAAGCTGGAAGCCACCTACCATAGGAAGCCCCTTCTAGATTTTGGCCTTAGTAAATGCACTTCCATTGTGGTCCCCACATTTCCAAGGTCTATCGCTATCATCGTATTTACCATATTGTATCACAGTTACCTTTTAAAGTGTCTCCACCCACTACTAGACCGCGACATTTTAAAGCGAGGACTGTGTATGATTCAGCTCCGCATGTGTGGGATCTAACACAGCGTCTGGCCCGTCGCCAGTGCTCACACCATGTTGGGTGAGTGAATGAGTCAATAAATGAATGGTACCTGCCGGTCTGCCAGATCGATCTTGTTCCCCAGCGCCACCATGGGGTAGGACTGCTCCGTCGGAATGATTTTGGCCAGAACATCACCTCGCCAGGTATTCAGAGCTTCAAAGGACTCCAGGTCGGTGACATCAAAAGCCAGGATGCAGCCATCGGAGCCTTTGTAGAATGTGGACACCATGGAGCGGAATCGCTCCTGGCCACCTGTGTCCCAGATCTGGAGGAAAAAGCAGCCGTCCCACGGGGCTGTGATGAGTGGCTGGAGGTTTGGCCTAACTGGATCACATCGTGTCAAAGCTTCCGTTTCTGGGTAGGGAGCAGGCGGCTCTGGCACAGGCGCCTGTGGTCTTTTCACACACAGGTATCTCGACCCTGTCACCCTCCTACACTGCAGGATCTTGCCACTCACACTTAGCATCCACGAGCACTTCCATATCTGAGCTCTTGTTTTTCCCTGGGCCGTCAGAATAGATAATGTTATTCTCATCTGATAGATTTGGACCTTGGGAATGATTTGCTAAGGCCACTCGTCAAGTTTTCCAGGGACCTGAGCCTAGAAGTAAGACTCCCCAACTCCTGTATTCGAGCTCATCCTTCTAGATCAGAGATCAGCAAAAAGTTTCTTCTGTAAAGGGTCACAAAGGAAATATCTTAGGCTTTGCAGACCATATGGTCTGTTGCAACTACTCAGCTCGGCTGCTCTAGTGTGAACGCAGCCATAGACCATCAGTAATCAAGTGGGCAGGGCTGTGTGCCAATAAAACTTTATTTGCAAAACCAGGTGGTGGACCAGATTTGGTCCATTAGCTGAAGTTTGCTGGTGTCAGCTCTAAACCATTCTAGCTCCTAGAACACATTGCTGTGAGTGGCTGTCCAGAGAATGTGGGGTGACTTTCAGGTATGAATGCTGAAGAGGGAAAGGGAGGGCCGCTCACCTGTAGCTTCAAAGTTGTGTCATTCAGTATGATAATCTTGGAGAGGATACTGGCCCCTAGTGTGGTCTGATAATCCTCAAAAAAGGTCTTGTGCACATATTGGTGGAGGAGGGAGGTCTTTCCTACACTGAGGAAAAACCCCAGACACATGTGAACACACACGTCCATACCATTCTCAAAATCTCACCAAGCCCCTCTCGCCACCGTCTCTTCCCGAGATTCTGAATTTCTAACATTTGTGGTCCAAGGATCACACTTTGAGTAGTAAGGCACTAGGGAATGGTTTCCAGAAGTAGGAACCAGTCAAAGTGAGCAGAGAGGCTGAAGAGAGCTGGGTGCCCCAAAGCGAAGGTCAGGTCTTTCCTGTAGGTGGCAGGAGGTGGGAAGGCAGATAGATGCTAACTGGCTTGTTTCCACAGAGCTTGGACCAGAAACCAGGTAACCTGATTCCCAGCCTCTTTCTCCTACTGAGCTCCTTTCCTCGGGTGGGATGCCCTCCCTAGTGCCACCTTGAATCAGAAAGGTACCCATGGGAAGTGGAAACACATTCAGGAGGTCTCACTACCCTTGGCTAGGGGCCTGCATCCCAACCTCAGACCCCAAGCGGAGCTTGGCTTCACTCACCCCAGGGCTCCGACGATGATGAGCTTCAAATCCACCTTCTTCCGGGGATTCATGGAGGGGCTTCAGAGCCTGTAGGGAAACAGGAGTCACCCACATGCTGGCCAGAGTGCCCTGTGGCTGTTGTCACTGAGGCTGGCCTCTACTGTCTTCTTCTAGGTGTGCAGGTCACTGCCCTGGGCTGAGGACTTGGGTGAGGTTGACAGGTGGATGACTCAGCAACCCGTACACACCCTCCCCCTCACTTCCTCTGGGGGCTTCCCCAAGGCTGGGCGGAGGGGGTGGGGTGGGAGGGGGGTTCCCCACAGGACAGTTGCATCTCTCACCTTTCAGCTCTACCAACTCTGATCTCAGGGGCAGCCTAGAGTGCCAGGAAGGCGGGAGGCAATTGAACAGAGGCCTCACAGACAGTCAAGCCTGGAGCCAGGGATGGAGGGCAGTATGGGAAGAGGAGATGGGGGCAGGACAAGGAGTCCATTGTCAGGAAGACCCAAGAGGCTTTGGATGAAAGAGTGCCCCTCCCCTAGCCCGAGGTGTTGCTGCAATTGCAGCATCAAAGGCTCTTCTTTGAGGCAGCTGGTGGGGTTGTAATTGGTACATGTTTCTGGAAAGCTACTTGGCAGCCAGTAGTGAGAGTCTTAAACATGTTCCTGCCCTCCACTTACTAGGAATTTGTCTAAAGAAATAACCCGAACGCAGACAAAGACTTTTGTTCAAGAATGTTCTTCGGAGGATTATTCATAAACATCCAACAGTAAAGAAGCGGTTAAGTAAATTATGGCACACAATGAGATAGGGGCAGAAAGAGAATATTGGAGACCAGCTATAATTGTAAGAAATATTAATCAGGCTCTGTTAACTGTGATTGTTTTGTTTTATTTAAAGAAGTCACGTTCTAACCTGGCTGGGAGTTGCACAGGGGACCCGGGAGCTCACCTGGAAATGCAACCCATCCTCTCCATCTGGGAGCTGCCTATTATCATGGAAAGATGAACAACCTTGTTGCAGAAACCAGAGCCGCCAGCTCTTTGAAGACCCCCAGCCTTTGCATACCCACAGGCCTTTGCATACCCCCAGCCTGCATTACCTGTAAACTGCCCATTTGACATATCCTTTTGCCTACTTCCCCATGTAATCTTCATCCTTCTACCCAATATAAGCAGCTGCCTTATGGCGGGAGGCGGGGGGGTACAGAGCAGATTTTTGTGGATGACCTGCTGCTCTCCCATACTGCTGGCAGTATTGGAATAAATGCTCATATATGATTCAACCCTGTCTCTGCTGAATTGGCTCGAGTAGTGACAGGTAGCCTAGACCCACGATTGTCTGGGTATTAAAATGACGTTTTTGAGCATCTATAGTAATAAAAGCATAATATGCTAATTAGACTTGACGACCTTCCAGATGAAGCTGGGGCTGCGAGGGAAGCCGGGTCCTGGGTGCCAGAGGGAAGCTGGTACCAGCAGCCACGGGAAGGAAGGCCTACTCTTGCACGAATTTCGTGCATCGGGCCTCTAGTATTATAATAATGTGGGAAAGTAGTGCCTTAAGACATAAATGAAAAACAGAAGACATTAAACTGTACATGCAATACCACCCCAAATATTAAAATGAGTTCCTACTTGCATAGCAAAAGTTCTGGAAAAAATATGTAAAAAACTTAAGTATTTAATTCTGACTGGTGGGAGATCATATGATTTTAATTTTGTTCTGTATGCTTTTTGGTATGCTCCAATTTCTTTACAATAAACATGTCAATCATGTATCGCTCCTATAAGAGAAAAGTACTTATGTGTGCATTTGTGTGTGTTATATATATATATATAAAGTTATATATATGTTTATTCACTTTCTTTTATTTAACAAGATAAAGCAAAACTGTTGCAGGGGATTATGCTTAACTGGCTTGTTGGCATAATCACTATTCCCAACTCCTGGGTCTTCCGTCCTTGGATGCGCTAGCATAGGAGTAAACATTAATCTGACTGCCTGGCTGAGTGTCAAAAGTTGGCTAGCTTGAGTTTCCCGTGGCACCTGGAAAAAGCTCTAGATTGGATGTCCTACGGCATTGGGTGTTCTAGTTCTCACTGTGCCACTGTGTGACCTTGGACCAGTTACTTCCCCTCTCTGACTCTTGGCTTTCCAACTAGAGAATGAGCCACTTGGGCCCCAGAGACTCAAGGTCCCTTCTGTTAGGTCTGATGAAATAATTGAATCAATACCCCCTTCCCCGGGGGTATTGACCTTTAGACCACTTCACAACCGACATTCCCTTTTGCTTAGATCACATTCCACTTGCTAAGACCATTATCTTCCCCCTCCAGACCCACCCAGAAAATTCTCTGCCCAGAAAAAGCCCGCCTAGAGTCCTTTAAAACCTCTGACTTCCCATCCCTGGGTGCTGACACCATTTTGGGGCTCGGCCCATCTGGTTTTCCAAATGATCCAATAAATTCATAATTCTTTACCCTCTTCGGCCTTGTGTGTACCTTTTTCTCCAATCCTAACACCTCTGGTTGAAAAATGCTTTATCTACTGGAGTTATAATTCACTAGGCCACAAGAGCCTTGCTGGGCATTCCTAGTTAGTGCAGTTAAAATAGAAAACTCTTAGAGGCCTAGGATTATTAGTGTCCCTCCATGCACCATGCCATAGGCCCAAAGATAAGTTGGGGCTTTGCTCAGAGCTGTTTGTCCCAGGAGCCAGAGTTGGTGGCACTGGACTTTCTACCCAGGAGAGCTGTGTTGGCATGGTGGCCAATAGGTCTTCTTGGTGGTTCATGCATTCATTCAATAAGTGCATACAAACCTACTGTGGGCACAGCCCTGCGCTGGACACTGGAGGAGCACAAAGATGAAGTAAACATGACTCCCCAACCTCCCACCAGTGAGTCATCAGGGGAGAAAGGACAGAGCAGTTACACCAGGAAGTGTCAAGTGCCCCCACAGAGGCACAGACAAAGTGCGGTGGGAATTCGGTGAGGAGAGAAGCTGCCATGAACTGGCCCTGAGGAAATAAAACATGTGGTTGGAGGCTGATATTTCAGGGGGAGGGAATGACCTGGGAGCAGCCGAGTGGAGAAGGTGGATGATCTGCTTCAGGGAAGGATGAGGGAAAGGTATATAGAGAGGAAAGCCTGGAGGGATTCAGACCAAGGATCCTGTCTTCATCCACCCATCCATCCACCCATCCATCCATCCATCCATCCATCCATCCATCCATCCATCCATCCATTCATTTCCTATGCTCCAAATATGGGAGGAAGAGAATTCAAGGTATTCACTGGGGCTGGCATTTAGTAATGGGTGTCACTGCCCACAAAGAAACCAGCCAAGGGAGAAGTGGCTCAGAAGCTCCTGACAGCCAGGCCTCTGAGCAGCAGTTACCACTCTGGAAGGAAGTGGGAGTGATTGTGAGCTCTGTCCTAATGGCTTTGGTGCACCGTGCTAATAGCTTCAAAGCCAATACTGTGCCTCAGAAAGGGAGTCAGAATGAAAGGAAGGCAGAGGGAAGTGGAAAAGAAATCTGCAGGATGCTCTGCATCCTCTGTGCAGCGTAAGGAGTCCTCCCATAGCCCTACGAGATGCTTACAACTGAGGCTCAGAAAAGCCACACACCCTGTCACTTGGTGCCCCTGTCAGAGGCTGGAGGGCCGGGTGATGTGGGCTTGACCCTGTGCAGCAGAGCTGTGTGCATATGAAGGGAAAACTATGTGGTATGTACAACAGAGGTTCAAAATCCAGTACGTGCAAAGCAGTCTACAGATAGTCAAAGACAAGATGCAACATAAAAGTGGGCAAAGAATATAAACTAACCCAGTAGAAATCTTATGAATGATTAGTAGTAAGCTTTGAAAAGATGACTCAGCCTTACTAATTTTTAAGGACATGCAAATTTTTAAAATATCACTTTATTTCCCCACCAGAGTGGCAAAAAGTAAAAAGATTAATGATACTATTTAGTGTTGGCAAGTGTGTGGTGGTAACACTCTTGTATATTGTTGATAGAGTATGAATTGTCACAGTCTTTCTTGGAGGGCAATTTGACAAGATCAGAACTTAATATGTGCATATTTAGGTTCTAATTCTAGGAATCTATCCTACGGAAATACGCATATACTCAAACACACATTTGTACAAAGATGATTGCTGAAAAGCATTGTTGTAACCTAAATGTCCATCAATAAGACACTTTCTATATAAATTATAATCCATTCATACTCTGCGTGAGAGTAAAGTAATGAAAGATGTGATGACAATTTAAGTAAAAATAGAACATTTTGGCTTGGCCAGTGTGACTCAGTGGTTGAGCATTGACCTGTGAACCAGGAGGTCACAGTTCGATTCCGTGATCAGGGCACAGACCCAGGTTGCAGGCTCAATCCCCAGTTGAGTGTGTGCAGGAGGCAGCCAACCAATAATTCTCTCTCATCATTGATGTTTCTATCTCTCCCTCCCTTCCTCTCTGAAATATATATATATATATATATATATATATATATATATATATATATATATATATAATATATATATATATTTATTTAAAGAACATTTTGTATAGTAAAATCCCAATTGTATAAAAACAAAAAACTACCTTATATATGACTATGTTTAATATTATATTTATGCTTGTCTTGTATATACACAGAAAGCTATGAATAGACACATTAAATGATTACTAGGAGGTAGGGAAAGATAGATTAGAAGCTAGAGCTATGTTATATTTTATTTATACTAGTGACCCAGTGCACAGATTTGTGTCCATTGAAAGGAAATTAATTAGAAAGTGGCCGGTGGAGCAGGACTGGGTGAGATGGGCCAGACACAGCCTGGAGCCAACCTCCTGGGGTCCCTTCCTGGCCGGTGACACCTGGGGTGGTGCCGGGGCTTGGAGGGCATCTGTGGAATGAGCAGGGTCCCTCTGGCAGGTGGGGTCCCTCAGCCTGGCCTGCAGGGATCGGGCCAAAACTGGCTCTCCAACATCCCCCAAGGGGTCCTGGAGTGTGAGAGGGCACTCTGCAAAGTTGCTGTCGTACAGGGTGTAGAACACAAACGCAAGTGTGCAGTAAACCAAATTCGGGCCAACATTGCCCCAGCAACAACATAACCCGTGGCCAAAGGTGGAATCGTGTGGCTCTGAGAGGAATCAGGCTCCCTCCTCTCTGGTTTTGGGGTGCATCACCCAAGAACCACCACTGCCAAGTCACTGCAGCTCAGCAGCTCCTGCATTGAGCATCTGCCCCCTGGTCTTCAGTGCACATCATACCTACCGGCCAGTCGGCCAGTTGGCCGGTTGACAGGTCGCTTAGCATTTTATATATATAGATGTCTTATATTAAAATTTGTTACATAATCCTAAATTGTTGTAATTTAAAAATGTCAAATAAAGACATTTCTTTAAATAGAGCACAGGGGTGGAGGGAAGTCCAAAGTCATGTAAATGTGACTTCCTGGCAGGACAAATCATTTTGTGCCTGGGCAGGAGAGAGAGGCTGCCTAGGCTCATGGAGTGATCATGAGTTCTGCAACTAAGAGTGCTCATCCCACTGCTATATATACCTTGGGTTACTTAATCTTGGTGAGTCTGTTTCCTCGTGGGTAAAACGGACGTCACTCATGCCTGTGCTTATTCTGCAGGGTGGCATGTGTCATGTTCTCATAGCAGATCTGGTTCCCCAAATTGGGGAAGACTCAGATAAATGGTTCACAACTGGAGAGGGGCGGTGAGGAGGAGGCAGATTTGCTGTGCCTGCCACTTTCTATGGTGTAAATATTCCTACCATGGCTTGTTTCAAACTCCCAGTGGAGCCTGCTCTGGTACACAATCAGAAGGGCATCTAATCCGATCTCCCATCCAGTGTTTGAGACATCTCTCCGCATTCATGGAAAGATGGGCCAGACCTGCCTCCACAGAGCTTCTTCCCCCAATGAGGGTGCTTTTTTCCTGGGGGCACATAAGATGCTTCCTCCCATGCCAGCCCTTCTGAGGTATAAAGTCTTCTCTTTGAGTTTTACTTGAATATTTTCTTCTCCAGATCCTTGTAACTCACCTCAGCCTTGACTCTGAGCTCCCCTCACCCCACCCCCATCCAAATCCCCTTCCCCTAATGTGCCCTTAAAGTGTGCAGCACTGCAGACCCCCCGCCCCCACCCCCTTCAGCGATTTGCTGAGACTGCTATTTAAATAGCCTGGCCCTTGGGCCCAGGATAACTGGCAGTAACAAGAGGGTGACCAGGACTGTGTCAGTGGCAAGGAAGGGCAGCTTGGGGGTAGACACTGGCTGGGCTCACCAAGAAGGCATGCACAGATTCCAAATGGTGACTTCCCATGCTCTCTGTGCTCTCCCTGTCTGGAGTTTGGCAAAAGGTGTCCTTGTAAGCCTCCTCCTACCCATTCAGATCACTCAGTTGTTTCAAAGCCGGGCATCCTCCTACAGGCCAGACTGAGTCAGCACCCTCATTGTTAAATGACAGGGAGAAGCAGGGTTGGAATGCAGGGCACTGCCTTCAGTCAGCCCAGGTCCACACACAGCAGAATCTCAGGCTGCTGCTCTCCCCTGCAATTGACTAACTCGACTCCCCACTCCCACCCCTGCTAGCCTGGCAGCACTTCTCAGCCCGGAGCCCTGCCCCTGCCCATCTGCCAACAGTGAGTGAGTGTAGCTCAGTCCCTGGGGAGTAAGGAAGACGGAGTTGATCTCTCTCACACACACACACACACACACACACACACACACACACCACTTAAAAATAAAAACCCTTGGTCTTGGGGTCAGTCGTCCAAGAACTCTTGGGCCTGCTGTGCTCGCACATCCCCACTGCCCTTCTCTTCTTATCCCACTGGCGCCAACCAGGACTCACTCTTCTGCCCTGTTTGTGCTGAGTGAGGTGCCATGTCTGCTGACAGGGAGGGGGGTTGAGGGAGACCAGTGAGCAGGGGGATATGAGAATTCTGAAACAGGCAAGTCTCTCCACTCCCCTGGACTCTCTTTCACCCGTTTCAGTGCCTCCCCTCCCCGCTCCCATGCCTTGGAAAATGCCAAATGTATTCACTTTAAAATGTGATGGGATTTACAATCGTGGGAGTAAAGTTTGTCTTTGAGAAGAGGCTATCCAGGGAGCACAGGCTTCTTGCCTCTCAGGAAGCCTCACAACTCTGCCTTCTCCACCTAAATCCTAGCAGGTCTAGACCTGCTCCCTCCAGGAAGTGCACCAACAGTTCTGGTTTCAGGAGGCCCAGCACTCCTGCTATGTAAGTTCTTTGGAAGCATGAGTCCCACCTCCCGAAGTGGACTGGCCATGCCCAGAGAGCAGGACAGTGCCTCACACCTCTCTGAATCCCTCCAAAGAGGCTGAACCATGCTGGGAATATTGAGTTTTCAATAAATAATCATCCATCCATTGATCCATCTATCCATCCAATTCATTTATCTATCATCTCCATCTACCCATTCATCTGTCCATCCATCCATTCATTCATCCATCTATCTCCATTCATCCACCCACTCATCATCCTTCTATCTGTCCATCTGTCCAGAACACATGTACGATATGCCTACTATGCATCAGCACTATGTAAGGTTGGGGATATGGACAGATCCTGTCTCCATGGGACTTGTGTGGTGGGGGATTGCTAGGTAAGACCAAATAGATTATTTTTATTAATTCAGAATGCCTAGCAATTATAGGGCACTCTGCAATTTACAAAATGCCATCATAGCCTAGTGGATTCCTGAGGCAAGCTGAGACTAGAACCCCGGTCTATCTGACTCTGTTCATTGGCTCGCCCAGCATTGCAGAGCTGTGCTAAGAGCAATACTAATGATTTAGAACAAGGAGAGCACTTTCTTGATTTTTTTTTTTTTTTTTTTTTTTTTTTTTTTTTTTTACAGAGAGGAAGGGAGAGGGATAGAGAGTTAGAAACATCGATGAGAGAGAAACATTGATCAGCTGCCTCCTGCACACTCCCCACTGGGGATGTGCCCGCAACCAAGGCACATGTCCTTGACCGGAATCGAACCCAGGACCCTTGAGTCTGCAGGCCGACGCTCTATCCACTGAGCCAAACCGGTTAGGGCAGGAGAGCACTTTCTTACTCCAGGATTTCCCCCTTCCTGATGAAACCCTTCGGATGAGATGGCTCCATCCCAGAAGATACCCTGTTGATGTGTCAAGGGGACTCCTGGTGCTAGCAGGACTCAGCCCTCTCGAAAGACTCCAGTTTCTGGCTGTTCTTCCTCTGATTGTGCCAGCAGCTGCATCTGCCCATGCAGAGCCCCAAGCTGGGCCCCAGTTCCCTGGGCTGGGCAGAGTCTCTTCTGCCTGGCTCATTGCCATACCCTGGGAGTTTCTCCTGCGTGAGGGTCATTGGGTTGGATCTCAGCCCTCAGCTGCCAGATTCTAAGACTCATCCTGGTATTCCCTGTCTCCACTCCTTCCCCCCCAAACACAAATACCTCCGGGGGTTGCTGGGACAGACAAGAGAAGCAAAAATAAACCTTCCAAGGTACTTACAGCTGTGGCTGCTTAGCATCCAGCCTCTGAGGACAGGCGGGCGTTCTCGCTGAATCTGAAGGATCTCCACTTAGATCAACAGTCTCAGCTAGGTCAGAGGAAAAAGGCTTTGGGAGCAAAAAAGAGTTTGTTGAGATCAAGCCAGTTCCTTCTGAGTTTTCCTCCTCTCCCGCTCATGCACAGACTTGGGAAAGTTGCAAAAGAGGCTGGGCCGGGTGACCTCAGCTGTGTGGGTGGAGGGGGTGGAGTGGAATAGAAAAGCTAGGCTTCGGTGCTGCCTGGATTTGGGCCCTGTGAGAATTCAGTTTTTAGGGACTCTGTCCCTGGGGGTGGGGGGGGGGTGGGGGTGGGTGGGGGTGGGGGGGATGAGAAATGGAAGGCTTGAGGGTGAAAGTTTGTGGGTGGCAGGACCTGGAAGGTAACATGCCTTTGTGGGCACCAGAAGAAAGGCCCCTGGCTGGCTTTCGGAACTTCTGCTTCTGTTGCTGGAAGGCACCCAGCAAAGGGGCCCTTTCGTTTGTTGAAGTATTAGGCTCACGTGTGTAATAGGTTTGGTCCCTCCACTTGCCTGGTCAGGAGAGGTCCTGATGCTTTGCCCTGTATACACACCACCTCATGCCATCTCACCACAACACACACACACACACACACACACACACACACACACACACACTCACACCCCAGATATATGGGAGGCAAGGCAAGTCCTGACATCTTCCTGGGCTTCTCAGATGAGGATATGTGACTGAATCTGAAGTAGCGAGGAGACTACAGCAATTTAAAATGCTATTAGTGTGAGATGAATGTTGGTATTTCTGTGAGCTGCCTGGAACCATGCTTCGGGTGATTATGATTGGCAGACATGTCACACAAACTCAAAAAGGGTCTGGAGGCTTTGGTGAGAGCTAAATTACAAAGATTTATTTAAGGGTCTTGGGGTTTGCAAACTGGAAACACAACTAGGCAATACGCAGCGTGTTCCAAAGAAGAAAGGAAAGCGAAGAGTTCTTATAGGACAGAGCACATCCCGGAGAAGAATCAGCCCTGCAGCCTCAGCCTCTGATTGGTCTGAGAGGATAATCTTCTAGAAGACCAGTGGTCTGGAGAATGGGTGTCAGGTGGTCTGGGTGCGTGAACATTCTTTCCTTAGTCCTCCAGGGGGCAACCAGAGGGTTCTCTAGAGGTTTTATGTATCTCCAGGCATTGACAAAGGACTAGAAAGTTTAAGTTCTCAGGTTGTTAAAACAAAACGGAATGGTTGCCTTATGCCTCAACCTACTTGGTTTTAGTAATTGAGGAGCTTGACTACAGTGACTCCATTTTATTTTTCCACTCAATTCCTTAGATAAAAGGGGGATAAAGTGAGTTTAGACATGCCCCAATTAAGTGGGTCACTAGATCTCAAGGGGTCCCCCTAGAGCTCAATAGTGTGATGTACCCTTCCACCCCCCATTCCTTCTGAGATGAAATTTTTCCTCCTTGGTGGCCCATTCCTTTGTTTAATAATCTTAACTGTCAAACTGTTTTTCCTTGTGTCCAATACAAGTCTCTGATGTTGCTGCATTGCTGCAGTCTATGTTTGTCTTGTCAACTAGACTATACATTCCTCAAGGGCAGAGCTAGTAACCTTAAACCCCACACTGAGCCGCAGTGCCAGGACAGGCCTTGGTATGGAGTTTTTGATGGAGCAAAAGCTCCAGTTCAAGGTCATTTTCTTGTTCTAATTAGCAAACATGCCTTCCCATGAAGTGTAATATTGGACTCTAATATTTAATAATATTTCACTGAAGTTGGTAAAACTTCAGGGCATGTTTCCCCAAAATATTCTTTGTTGCTTACTTGGAACAGGGTGCATTGGTCCACCCTCCAGACAACCCCCGATTCATGCCTGCCGAATTGTTCTTAAATTGTTGCCCTTTAGGATCCCTGAACAACATTCTTCGACTTTTCTGAGACCAGGTTTTAAACATCGTGTGTGTGTGTGTGTGTGTGTGTGTGCTTCTGTTGCTGGAAGCCACCCAGCAAAGGGGCCCTTTTGTTCCGTGTGTGTGTGTGTGTGTGTGTGTGTGTGTGTGTGTGTGTGTGTGTGAGAGAGAGAGAGAGAGAGAGAGAGAGAGAGAGAGAGAGAGAGAAAGAGAGAGAGAGAGACTTCAGTTCTTGCTTTCTTGAAGGAAAAAAATTTCAGTGAAGAGACAAAGTGCAGCAAAGCAAGCAAGAATTTGCAGCAAAAACACACGTAGGACAGGGAAACAAGGAAGGGCATAGAAGAAGCAACAGGAGAGTGAGGCTTGGCTGCTTTGGCTGAGAAGTCAGAGCAAAGGAGGCCTTAGAGACAGGTTCATGGGGCTAGACCAGGACGAGCTGCTGCTGCCCATTGCGCCCCTGGTTGCAAGCCTTGTGGGGTCCCTTACAGTAAAGAAGGGGGGAAGGAAATGGTGCAGGCGTGCTCCCCTGGGGGAGAGCACAAGCTCGGCCCTTTGTGTTGCGGGTACTGATCTCTCTCTTGCAGGTGGGAATCTTAGGGGAGGTTTCAGGGAAGGGTTTCCGTAGAATATGCATCATCTTTCCAGCTGTGCTCTTTCAATGTCATGGTCTCTGCTGATTGGTTGGCAACAGGACAGGGTGTCATTAGTCACTGCAGCTGGTCCAGAGGAGGCCACCATGTCACTTGTCTGGTTTTGCTGCTTTTCTGGGCCTGGAACTTAAATACAACTGAGGCTTAGGTGTTATCTTTAGGGAGGGGGGGAAAGTCTGGGGGTCTACACTGCAAGACCAGCGATATGCTATGGAAGAAAAGGTAACCTTGGGGCGAGGTCCTTGTTTTCCTAGTTTTGCCTGTTGCTACACACCCAGGCTTTCTGCCTGGTGACCTTTTGTACCTGACCCCTTGTCCTTGCTCTGCTCATGTCTGTCTAGCTGCCTATTACACTTTTGGGTAGGGGAAAGCTATCGTCAGCTAGTCCTTGCAGCCTCTGAACACAGGATGAAATGTATACCTTTAGGGGATGTTTGAAGAACTATCATGAACACCTTTGGCAGCCAAGTCACCAACCATCCTTAGACTGTAGTCCCCACTTCCTCTGTCCGAGTGGATCAAGAGTCAGCAGCTTCCCTTTTCTTGTCCTGACACGTGCTCCAGTGGAGAATGACGAGCAGCCTCTACCCTGCGGGGGAGGCCCTGACGCTGCACTCGCTGAATGCCCTTCTTCCCCTTCCCCCCCCTGCATGCAGCCATGTAATTATCAGGACCCTTGGGGAACACAAAGAAGTGGATATTTGCATTTTATCAGTGCAAGAAAGGCATGGTGCAAGTCATGGTATAAGGAATGCGGGGTATAATGGCATAAGAAAGGGTTGTGGGGATTTACAAGACTCCTAGAGGAGAAAATGACTTTATGGAAAGGAGAGATTTGAATCCGAGCTTGAAGGATGCAAGGATCTGAACCCGTGCAGGTGTGTGGGAAGTAGAGGTGGGAGTCAGGTGCAATATAAGAAGTGATCTGGGGTGTGGAGAGGAGATGCTGCACCTCTGCTCAGCAGAGGAGACTGTGCACAAGACAGGCTCCCAGTCAGGGCAGACCACCTACCAGCGTGCATCCCGTGCGGCTGACATTTCAACCTGCTTTTTCTTGGCACTGCATCTAACATCTCTTCAATATAATCTTAACGGTCATCGAAGAGGGGTCCTTTGGGGCCCGGCCAGTGTTGTTCAGTGGTTAAGCGTCGACCTATGAACCAGGAGTTCAGGGTTCAATTCCTGGTCAGGGCACATGCCCAGGTTGCGGGCTTGATCCCCAGTGTGCAGGAGGCAGCCGATCAATGATTCTCTCTCATCATTGATGTTTCTCTCCTTTTCCCTTCCTCTCTGAAATCAATAAAAAATTATAAAAAGGAAAAAAAAAGGGGTCATTTGGGGAAGCGTGCTCCACTGGTGAACAGGGTAGAAGAAATCCTGGGAGCAAAAGTGTGCAAGTGAGAAAATGGGGGTGGTTCTGTTGGGTTCTAGATGGAAGAGATGTGAGTGAAGGACAGGAGGTCTGACTGAGGCAGGGCCCTGCAGAGCCTTGAAAGCCAAGTCAGCTTGGATTTCATTGGGAGTACAGTGGGGAGCCGTTGGGAAGTTTGGGGCATTGATTGGAGCCAAGTTTCAGAAATGTGTCTGGAAGGAGGAGAGACCAGAATCGGTGCACCCAGATGTTCTTGCAATGCCCTTGGTGAGAGGTAATGACAAGGGCATGGGGACAAGGAAACACGTCACAGGAGCAATTTTGTGACATTACTGACAGGGCCATTGCGAAGATTAAATCACAGATGTGTGCAATCATTCAGCAGATATTACAGCGAACCTACTGCGCGCCAGGCCCGGAGCCAGGTGCTGTGTGTTCGGTGGGGAGCAAGACATCCCTCCGCCTCCCACTTCTGGCATTGAGGGGGTTCTCAATACATATTAATTGAACCTGAGGGTGTGCTGGGGAGTGGGAAGGACTGTGAGGCAGATGGAGGAATGGGCCTGCGTAACCACGGGGTGGTGATGCCGCCAGCTGAGATGGGAAACACAGTGAGATCAGAAGGGGATTATGGGGCTCCTGCTTGATCAGGATTGAGGTTGATGTACCAGCAGGACATTTCCATGACACCAATTAAGCTCATTGAGAGAAAACCCTGTTTTGTTCACGATTCTGTCCCTACTGCTCGATGCTTTGGCCCTGGCTCCCCTCCCCCACCCAGCCCAGCCCCTTGTCTTGCTTCCCCCCCAATTCTGGTGATGGCTAGTGCTGTTTCCCTGGTCAAGGAGCCTGCAAGAAGGGAGCCCACAGAGAGGAAACTGGTCCAGGGCCTACACTGAGCTGGTGGTCTCCCAAAGGCCCTAGCATTCTAGCAGCTTTCTGGACAGACCAGGAATATGAATCAGAAGTGCAGGGACTGAATGCCCACAGGCTCTGACCAACTAAGGCAGGAGAAAAAGAAACCAGCAGGTAGAAGCGCAGACTTGCCCCATACCCCACGCCCTTGTCATTGGACGGTTCTGAGCTGCACACACCCTCATGGCCTTCCTGGTGATGTCCTGTGCACAGAGCAACAGCTGTGTTTATTGCAAATCTGTAGTCAGCTCAGAAACTCATCTCCTTGTACTTATTCCCCTCTCTCTTCCTCACTTCCCCTTTCCCATCTCTTGCTTCCTTTGAATTGAACTTCCCAATAA